AAACAACCTTGGGTCAGAAATCCCAAATTGCCCCGAATTTCCCCCAAATCCCCCCCAAATTCCATCCAGGACCCCCCAAATTCCATCCAGGACCCCCAAAATTCCTTCCAGCCCCCCGGTACCTGCAGGTGGGTGATGTTGTGGTCGATGTTCATGGTGGAGGTCTCGCAGTTCTCCGCGATGTATTTGTAATCCTGCGGGCACGGCTCCTCGTCCACGCCGTTCACGCACGGGATGGGAACGTTCTCGTGCCCGCGGGCCACGTCCCTGACGGGGGAGACAGCGGGAATTCGGGGGGAAAAACGGGAAAAACAGGGAAAAACGGTGAAAATCCCGCGAAAAACGGTGAAAATCCCGCGAAAATCCGGGGGAAAACGGAGAAATTACGGGGGAAAAACGGTGAAAAATGGAGAAATTACGGGGGAAAGTTTGGCTGGAGATGGGGAAATCCTGGGAGAAATGGGAGGTGGGGCTTGGAATTTATTGGGAATGGGGGAATTCCAGGGAAAAACGGGGAAAAAAGGGGAATTCTGGTGAAAATCCTGCGAGAAACGGTGAAAATATCGCGAAAATCCGGGGGGAAACGGCCCCAAAATGCACCAAAAATGACCTCAAAAAATGACCCCAAAACACCCCAAAATGCACCAAAAATGACCTCAAAAATGACCTCAAAAATGACCCCAAAACAGCCCAAAATGCACCAAAAATGACCTCAAAACAGCCCCAAAATGCACCAAAAATACCCCAAAATGACCCAAAAATGTCTCAAAAATGACCCCAAAACAGCCCCAAAATGACCCAAAAATGACCCCAAAAATGTCTCAAAAATGACCCCAAAACAGCCCCAAAATGGCCCCAAAATGACCTCAAAAATGACCCCAAAAATGACCCCAAAACGACCCCAAAATGCCCCAAAAATGACCCCAAAACAGCCCCAAAATGCCCCAAAAATGACCCCAAAAGAGCCCCAAAATGATCCTTTAAAAATCCCGAAAAAATTCTGAAAAAAATCAGAAAAAAATCAGAAAAAATCCGAAAAAAATAAAAAAAAATCAAAATAAATCCCAAAAAATTCCTGAAAAATTCCCGGAAAATTCCCCAAAATTCCCAAGGAATTCCGGAACATTCCAAGGGTGTTTTCCCAGCTGCTGACGATGCGCTCGGTGTGCAGGGCGCGCCCGGCCGCCCTCAGCCGCGGTTTCCGGTTGAGCTGCAGAGCCACCCAAAAAACCCCAAATCCCCCCCAAAAAATCCCTAAAAAATTCCAAAAAAAATTCCCAAAAAATGTCCAAAAATTCCCAAAAAACTCCCCAAAAAAATCTTGTAATTATCCTGAAAGATCCTTTAAAAATCTTGAAAAAATTAAAAAAAAAATCAGAGAAAATCAGAAAAAATCTGGAAAAAAATCTGAAGAAAATATGAAAAAATCCCCCAAAAATCCCCAAAAAGTCTGAAAAAAAATCTAAAAAAAATCCAAAAAATCCCAAAAAAATTCCCAAAAAATCCCGAAAAATCCTTTAAAAATCCAGAAAAAATTCTGAAAAAAATCTGAAATAAATCAGAAAAAATCCGAAAAAAATCTGAAAAAAAATCCAAAAAAATTCCGAAAAAATTCCGATAAAATTCCCAAAAAATTCCCCAGAATTCCCCTGGGATTCCCGGTGTTTTCCCAGCTGCTGACGATGCGCTCGGTGTGCAGGGCGCGCCCGGCCGCCCTCAGCCGCGGTTTCCGGTTGAGCTGCAGAGCCACCCAAAAAACCCCAAATCCCCCCCAAAAAATCCCTAAAAAATTCCAAAAAAAATTCCCAAAAAATGTCCAAAAATTCCCAAAAAACTCCCCAAAAAAATCTTGTAATTATCCTGAAAGATCCTTTAAAAATCTTGAAAAAATTAAAAAAAAAATCAGAGAAAATCAGAAAAAATCTGGAAAAAAATCTGAAGAAAATATGAAAAAATCCCCCAAAAATCCCCAAAAAGTCTGAAAAAAAATCTAAAAAAAATCCAAAAAATCCCAAAAAAATTCCCAAAAAATCCCGAAAAATCCTTTAAAAATCCAGAAAAAATTCTGAAAAAAATCTGAAATAAATCAGAAAAAATCCGAAAAAAATCTGAAAAAAAATCCAAAAAAATTCCGAAAAAATTCCGATAAAATTCCCAAAAAATTCCCCAGAATTCCCCTGGGATTCCCGGTGTTTTCCCAGCTGCTGACGATGCGCTCGGTGTGCAGGGCGCGCCCGGCCGCCCCCAGCCGCAGTTTCCGGTTGAGCTGCAGAGCCACCCAAAAAACCCCAAATCCCCCCCAAAAAATCCTCAAAAAAATCCCAAAATAATCCAAAAAAATTCCAAAAAGAATTCCCAAAAAATTCCCAAAAATTCCCGAAAAACTCCCAAAAAATCTCGCAAAAACATCCTTTAAAAATCCCTAAAAAAATCCAAAAAAATCAGAAAAAAATCCAAAAAAATCAGAAAAAAATCAGAAAAAAATCAGAAAAAATCCGAAAAAAAATCCAAAAAAATTCCAAAAAAATTCCCAAAAAATTTCCCAAAAATTCCCGAAAAACTCCCAAAAAATCTCGCAAAAAGATCCTTTAAAAATCCCTAAAAAAATCAGAAAAAAATCAGAAAAAATCCGAAAAAATTCAAAAAAATTCCGAAAAAATTCCCCAAAAAATTCCCCAAAAATTCCCAAAAATTCCCAAAAAACTCCCAAAAAATCTCGCAAAAAGGTCCTTTAAAAACCCCTAAAAAAGTCCAAAAAAATCAGAAAAAAATCAAAAAAAATCAGAAAAAAATCAGAAACAAATCAGAAAAAATCCCAAAAAAATAAGAAAAAAAAATCCCAAAAAATTCCCCAAAATTCCCAAAAAAATTCCCCAAAATTGCCCTGGGATTCCCGGTGTTTTCCCACCTGCTGACGATGCGCTCGGTGTGCAGGGCGCGCCCGGCCGCCCCCAGCCGCAGTTTCCGGTTGAGCTGGTTTTCCCACCTGCTGACGATGCGCTCGGTGTGCAGGGCGCGCCCGGCCGCCCCCAGCCGCAGTTTCCGGTTGAGCTGCAGAGCCACCCAGACCTCGGAGCGCTCCGGGGTCAGATCCAGGGGGGAATCGCCCTCCTTGTTCCGCACCTCGGGATCGGCCCCCCGGGACAGGAACAGGCTGGGGGCGGGGACGGCTCAGGGACCGCCCACCCAAATTCCAGGGACCGCCCACCAAATCCTGGGAACGCCCACCCAAATCTTGGGAACGCCCACCCAAATCCTGGCACCGCCCACACAAACCCTGGCACCGCCCACACAAATCCTGGCACCGCCCACACAAATCCTGGGAACGCCCACCCACATCCTGGGAACGCCCACACAAATCCTGGCACCGCCCACACAAACCCTGGCACCGCCCACACACACTGGCACCGCCCACCCAAATCCTGG